CTTTCCACTAGATGATGTCTCTCTTGAGGCAGGCTGTTTTACTTACACTGTGTCTTTTCAATCATAGTTAAATGTCCATCATCTATAAATAATGAACAATTGCTGAATAAAAGAACAGTTCAACATAAATACATTATGACACTAAAAGGTAATACAAAGTAAATCAGCACAGATATGGTTACATACATTTTCTTAACCAATACAGTATCATTTTAGTCCATATTTTCCATATTTAATCCAAATATTTTTTCTCATAAAATGTAATGGGTTCTTACATATGACAATATATCCTTGCTCTTAATATCATTAATTATAGTAAAGAGATTTTTTTTCATAAAAGAATAGTTGAGTAAAATTCTGGAAATCAATTTGGTCATATTTTATTGTTTTTACTTTTTTTTTTGTCTTCTTGAGACAAGGTCTCGCTATGCAGTTCAAGCTGGCCTTGAGCACACTTTGTAGCCTAGGCTGGTCTTAAACTCTCAACAATCCTCCTGCCTCAGCCTTCCAAGTGCTGGGATTACAGGTGTGTGCCACCATGCCTAGCTAATTTGGTCATATTTTAGAAAAAAATGTAATGTTTGGTAGGATTATACTTATTTGTATTTGAATCCATAAATTGAATCACTTAAATGGAAACGAGGTAAATTAGTAATCTTATTATTGAAAGAAGTAACCGAAAATTTGTTTTCTTTTCTTTGCTTTTGTCTTTTTGAGATGGGGTCTCGCTATGCAGTTCAGGCTGGCCTTCTTTGTAGCTCAGGCTGGTCTTGAATTCGTAGTGATACTCCTGCCTCAGCCTCTTGAGTGCTGAGATTACAGGTGTGCACCGCCACACCAAAAATTTGAAACTTTTAAAATGCATTTTTCCTTACACTGCAAGCATCTATTTGGAACCAAATATATGTAAATCAAGCTATAAGGCTCTAAATACATTTTACTGTGTTCTTGACTGTGAACAGCGGCTGTGCTTGCAAGGATTTAGCAACATTGGCTTGAAATTTAAATACGTGTCTTTAAGAACCTCATCAATGAGCTTTTGCATATTTCCATGTCCCTCTCTTTAATCCACAATTTGAAATCAGGATTCAAGTTTTTGTGGCATTGGTTAATAAAACACATTTCTGGGGGGCAAATGCACTACACACAGTGCAAATACATAACTCTCTAACTCTGAAGAGAAAATACATTATTTTAATACCATCAACATATACACATAGGATGCAAGCAATTCTACCCTTCCATTGTGAATTTGTTGACAGGCTTTTTTAATCTAAGTCTTTATTCCCCAAGGTAGAGTGTTAGCAGAGTGCTTTCCTATGTTTTAATATCTCCTGTGTGAAAGGTTAATGTTCATTCCCTCTCAGCAAGTGTTTATTTAGGTATCCTTTTGACTAAAGTCATCTAGTATGTTTTCCAATCATCCCCTTGGGAAAATTGCCCACAGTCTCTAAAAATTACATCAGATAGAAACATCACATTTATTCTGGCCAGGCTTCTACTCTTATTACCCAAGCTAATGGTGTTCTTCGTTGGCAGTGAAAGATTGACTTCAGGATGAGCAACTCAGGTGGAAATGCAGTCATCTTTGCCAGGGCTCTGTTGACTGGGATCATATGTCTAAAGATTTGTGTCTTTAGATCTGGATAAATTTTGTGGATTCCTGTGTTTCAAAGGCTTCTCTCATTCCTATGTTAATATATGTAAATAGGGAAGTTATAGTTAATAATTACCAGAAACACATAAATATTACTTTAGTAGAGTATTTCACAACTAATATTATAGATAAATATTGGTGTCCTATCTCAAAGCTGCCATTAGTATTTTTTAAATTTCCTTTATGAAATTGAACCATGCGAGTTTATGAATTACTTGGCTTTCTTTTTACTTGTGGTTTATTTACTTGAGCCTTTAAATTGACAGGTTATATGTTTTCTATTAAGATAAGCATCTAATTCATTAAAAATACAGCTACAAAATCAAATGAATTGATTAAATGTGTCAAATAAATTGTCTGCTTTGACTATTAATCCATTCTTATCTCATTTTCTCAGGTGAATTTCAGCACTCCTTCATACATCAACCTTTCTCCAAAGAATGCTTATGACACAGTTAAATTTACTGACTAGTAACTAGATAAGAAATGGTAGTCTAAATCTGGATTTCCTCATAAAGCTTCACAGCATAGAAGTTTTCAATAGGGGTTCACTTTGACTAAGAGGCAGTTTCACTAAAGTTCACTTTAGTTGTCGAATGAATACCTTCAGCACTGACATTCATGTCAGCATATCTTTGTTAGCCTGATAAAACAGCCCGCTAAGACTCCTCACTAAACTGCGAAATCTGTGATCTTACAGATTTCAAGAGTTCCAAGGTCACTTGGAAAATGACAAAACTGAGTGTAGAAAAGAGACCACATCTGGACCTCTGAATAAAGGAATCGCAGGGGCAAGTGCAGTTCAGTCTCCAGATAGATGTGAGAGATTAGGAGAAGCCAACTGGCTCTCCAGGCTCAGTAAATACACAATTTGCATTCAGCAGAGATGCTTCACAATATTTCTTAGTTTCTGAAAATATTTTTTATGGAAATGTCTTATCATATTTGAAGCTTTTGTTTCTGTTTTGTTTTTGGTGTAAACTCAAGCAGTGTCAGATAAGTCTGTTGCATCCATTGGCAATAAGCTATTGGACTACTAAGTTTGTCTCCAGAAGCATGGTAGACCTCCTTGTATATTGTTGCTTGCTTTGCTGGGTTTGTTCTTTTATTAAATCAAAAATAATTACTGTCTTTTCTGAAGTTAGAGTGAAATTCTATGGCTTGATTAAGATCATTTATTTGGGGTAAAAATTCAATTCCTCGTGGGATACCTTGAGATGCATCATCTGAGGGAAGATGCTTCTGAGGGAAGATCCCAAAATATCTTCACTGTAAAGTTCTGTCTGAGGGAAACACTAGAGCCAGACACCCATACTCCAATGGAAATGATGAGGAACACTAAACAATAGGGCTTTAAAGCTTTAGATTTGTTTAATTGTATTGCTCATAGAATATGCGTTTTCCTCTTCCCTACCTTATACAACTTTTAGCATCTGTTACTTGAAGAAAGATTAAATGGTGTTTACAAAATTGTTTGAAAATGCAAATATTTCCTTCATAGGTTAGAAAACAAAATTTTGTTACATTTTATGAAATTTTTTAAGAACCCTGGCATGTGAGACTCTCATGTATTTTTTTCACTTTCTCAGGAAATTTGTATTTATTCACCACTGTGTTCTAGATTATTTTTTCTAGAGATTATAAACATAGCAATAGAAGTAGATAATGAATCAGAAAAATATACATCACATGTGTTCTATCTTTCATGGTAATAAGAGAAATAGAATGGTGAAGTTGTTTAAAGAGTGTAGAGATTAGCAATTTTTAGAAGACATAGTGGTAAGCAAAGTCTTTGCCAGAAATATAACAGCTGAATGGTAAGCTTTGTGAGGTGAGCAAATCGGGAATCTGATATTTAAGTGGGTGATTATTCCAGGAAAATAGATGGGACTACTAAATGGCTGTTTAACTGTTTTCTCAATGGTAAAGAATATTTCTGGAGTGAGAGAAACAAGGGTAAGCCTAGTACAGAGATAAAAGAGATGAAATTACAGAAAGAATTAAAATACAAATCATGCAGAACTTTTGCAAGCCATCATAAAGGGGTTGACTTTCATTTTCATTGAAATAGAAAACTTTTGAGGTGTTAGGTAGAGGACTGATCTGATTTACCCCAGGTTTTAGTGGCATAATTTTGGTAATTGGGTTGGAATACAAAAACATAAGAAGGAAGTAGGAAAACCAACTAGAGAGCATTAGAATAATGTAGGTGAGAGATGATAGCATTTTGAAGCATTTCATGTATGGTAAGAGAAGATAGGGTTAGGATTGGTGTTTTGTTCCTAATATGTATGATACCAGAGTCAAAAGAATTTATGGGTGCATTAGAAGGGGTCCATGAAAAAAATAGAAGCTGAGGATTTTTAAATGTTTCTATATACTAGTTAAAACTAAAAGAAAAACTACTGTGAATATGACTGTGTAACAAATGTTCAAGGTCAGTAGCTGTCACTACTAATTTATTATTATTAATTATTATTTTTTGAGACATGGTCTTATTAAGTCATTTAGTTGCTCAGGCTGCCTTGAACATATGATCCTGCCTTAGCCTCTCACAGTTCTGGGATTACAGACATTTGCCACCCTACCCAGTCAAGTCAATACTAGTTTTTACGTGTGATTTATTATTATCTTTAAATATACTACTGAAAGTGTGGGCCATTTGCACATGTTCATCAGAAAGGCATCAGTCGCCGCAGCACTGAAGTTGCACTATTCAAAACTGTGGTAGTGAACCAGTTCTTTGTACATCTAGGCTCTGATTTCCCTGACTTTAGAGAAGGAAATGGAAGTATATGGCTCAGTAATCATAATGGAGAGACTAAGAAATGTTTGATTGTTTGGTCAAGAAGCCAATGAGGCCAAAGTCACAGGTGTGGTCTTTGTATGAATCTGAGCTTTGCTGGTTCCGCTCTAAAGAATCTATTTCTGACCTCACTCAGTCAGATCAAAAGAGCATGTTCCTGCTCGCAAGGCAACCTGGAAAGTTGTATGGAGCAGTCGGTCCAGATCCATCATCCTTGCTTAAAAAAAAAAAAAAAAGTTATACACAGCATTTCCTCTGTTTACAACCTGTGAAAACCAGTTGCGGTGTCTTCACATTTAGAAGGCACAATATGTCCAAGGTAATAAGCAATACAAGTACTCAGTGAAAACACATTTCCCCAAAGAGTGAGCCAAATAGTCAGTGAAAACATGTTTTGTATACTTAAAAGATTTTCTGCAAGCAACTTTTTATTTTAACGATCCCTTAAAGGCATGTGAATAACTTTCAATGGATAATGTGAAATTGGAAAAAAAAGCGATTCTCTTATTTAACTCACTTCTCTGCGTTCTATTCCAGAACCTACAGACAGGCCACCTATACTATTAATTGCAAATTATGACACAATTGAGATTTTCTATCTTAATGGAAGTAAAATGGCAACTCTACACTCAGTCAACGGAAATGAAATTCATACATTGGATTTTATTTACAAGGAGGAGATGATCTGTTGGGTTGAATCAAGAGATACTTCAAATCAACTCAAATGTATTCAAATAACAAAAACAGGAAGAGTGACAGATGAGTGGACAATCAATATTCTTCAGTCCTTCCACAGTAAGTATTTCAGTTTCATAATATCCATCAACCTTTAGGAATTTACTTATATACCATTAGGCAAGATTTTTAGACCTCTAGCATAGCTAGAATAAATGTTAGAAAGTCATGTATGCACACATGATACACTTAAATAACTGTACTAACTATACAATTTGCATATACACATGTCCATTTAGCAACTCTATATAAGTTGTAAATTTCTGAGTTAACTGGAATTCATTCTTTAATGATTATTACAGTGTCAGCTATCTGTGAATCACATTTCACTAATGTGTACTTTACAATGTGAAATACAGGTGAGATTTTTAAAAAGTGAGAGATATAGTTAATAATTATAGGTTCTTTGATGCAGTATTTGTTAAACACTTTGAAAACTATTAGTTTGATTCTAATTAGTAGTAACTATGTGCTTTTAAACTTTTTCAAGCAAATCTGAGATAAAATATATCATCTTCCAGCACAGTAACTATGGTTTTCAATTAATTTTGGTTTTTTTGGGTCAAAAGTTTGGCAAACTGTAGCTGTCCTACTCAGCCTGCATATTACTCTAAACTGGAATCTCATTCTCCGTCTCTGTCTCTGTCTCTCTTTTTCATCTCCTCTTTCCCTTTCTATGTGGGAGTATTAAAATATCTTTGCACATGTCTGGAGAAATCCACACAAGAACTTTCGTGCATGTCCAGTTCTTTTATGATTTACAGAAAAATTTATTTTTACAAATGCTGCTGGCAACAAATCAATAAGGAAATGAAAACTGTATACAATCAAATCCAGAAGAAAATAAAGAGAATTCTATGATGAAATAATTGTAACTTTCAGGTGTAGAATGCTTGGTTATTTGGATTTAATAATTATATTAACTATTCTGATAAACAAACAGTGGAACAGGTTTTTGATCCTTATGAAATATAAGAAAATGTTACTATGTAATGTTGGAAAATTTTGAGTAGAATAAATAAATCAGTGGCAAATTTGCCTTAATAGTACATGAAATTATAACTTTTGTACACTTAAGCAAATAGAAAAATAGCATTTAAAAAGTAAGATCTAATAAATATTAGTGTGTTTTGTGTGTGTGTGCATGTGTGTGCATGTGTGTGTGATTGTTTTATTTTTGTGAGAAAAGGTCTTGAACTTAGATTGGCCTCAAACTCAGGATGATCCTCCAGCCTCTGCCTCCTGAGTGCTGGGACTACGATGTGTGCCACTACGCCTGGCTGTGGCATTCTTTCTATCACCGTGACAAAGCACCAAAGAAAATAATAACATCAACTTAAAGAAAAAAGATATGTTTTCGATCAGAGTTTTGGAGGTTTCAGTCCATAGTTAGTTGACATCACTGCTCTTAGGCCTTTGGTGAGGACGTGGGAGTGAAGGAGGTGGAAGATTAAAGCTACTTAGCTCCTAACTGGGTGGAAAAGAGAGAGGAGACAGAAAGAGAAAGAGAGAGAGAGAGAGAGAGAGAGAGAGAGAGAGAGAGAGAGAAGCATGCCTTTCAAAGCCACGCCCCAGTAGTCCAGCACTGCCCACTATGCCTGCATGCTAATCTTTCCACCACCCGGTAATAGAGAACTGGCTGAAGACCTATCTTGAACACATGACCCTGGGGGCGCATTTCAGATCCAGACTACAACATAACATTGTGAAGATCGTCTTACAACTTAAACTGATTAATTCATGCGCTGTGAGAAAAGAGCAGAAATCATAATGAAATCGAGGGCTGTTAGCTCTTTCAACGTTCAGAGGAGAGATGTTCATTCAGAATAAAAGTAAAGAACAAGGGAGCAGTGAAAACGCTGCCTTGTGATGGTTTTCAGACTTCAGCTTAGCCAGCACCTGGGATCTGAAAGCGGGGGCGCAAATTCTTTCCCACAACAACGCCCACCTCAATTTCGCCTCAATTTCTCCCCAGAAAATGGAGCACTGAGTGGCCAAATAGCTAGAAGATTCTCTATCCAAGGAAGATTATTTTCTGAGCTTAAGATACAATTTATTATGTATAATACTCTTCATTAATAAGACAAAGTCCTCCTTTGCAATGTAATTTAACAATTGTTTAGTAAATCCAAGAAAAGGCAATCATAATATGTAGAAAATTATAAGTAACTTAGAGTGCTTTGGATTTACAAATAATAATTGGCATAAACAAAACAACACAAAAACAATAAAATGATACAGAATTTCAAAACAAGATATAATATGTAATATAACAACCACTGTTAATTCCTCTCATCTTGTTTTGAAATCTTGTATCATTTTTATTGTTTTTGTGAAGTTTTGTTTTTGTCTTCATTGTTATTTTGTTATTTTTTTTTTCTCTTAAAAAGAAAATCCACCAGGGCAAACATTAAAGAAAACAATTATTGGAAAATCTAGAAAAATAGATTTTTGGTAAGGCAATTCATTAAAATGCTAAGTGCGATATTCATTTTGAATTTAAAACATGCCCTGAAATATTTTAATTAGAATCAACAATTTTTGATGAAGTCAGGTTTAGACTATATAATTTTATAGTCATTTTAGAAAAAAGTAATTAAATGTGTGGAAGTAATTTAATGATGATCATGGGGCAGGGATGTGGGAGTGTTGGCTACCCTGTCATGCTTACAAACCATGCATTTTATCAACGTGTCACAGAGCAGCTGCCATTGAGGATCATGGGCTGTGAATTCTCCATGCCAATTTGTGAGTTGATAATAAAGTCTGAATATCTTTTGCATATATAATTACATAAAATCTCTGCCATACCACATAAGCAAAAATAATGAACTGATAGAAGTCTGCTTGAATAAATTTCACTAACCAATATTCTAGAAATTATTGCTGCAGTTTTTACCCCACTATTTTTAGATACTTTTCTGATTTTTACCTGAAAAGAGTATTTATCTTTTAAAAATACAAAAAAAATTCAAAGGATCAACTGTAGGGATAAAATTCGCTTGCATTTGAAACTTAATGAAAATATCTAGTATATACATTTATTACATGTTAAAATTTTATGGCACATCTAATCTCTTTTTTTGGGTCATATGTCTGTGGAGTAAGCAGGAGATCCTCTTCTTTTTTTTGTCTTTTTGAGATAGAGTTTCACTATTCAGTTCAGGCTAGCCTTGAACTCCTAGTGATCCTCCTACCTCAGCTTCCCCAAGGCTGGGATTACCAGTGTGCAAATTGATGCCTGGTTCCTTTTTTGTTTATAACAGAATCCTAACTCAAAAGTCAAACGTACCAGGTCAAGCTGAATGCCCAAAGAGAGGATAAAGTTGGGATTCAAATTCTACCTTTCCTTTTACACTAGAAAGGCAAATCTAACCCAAATGATCATATTTAGATTTTCTGGGTAGTACTAAATAACTAGCTGCAACAGGAAGGTATTATTATTCCCCTTTTCCTGGTAACAACATCGAGACTTTTCTGAGCTGGTAAGTAGCACACAGTACTGGCTACAGGTTTAGGATTAAATCAGATATCACAGCTGTTTCTGAATACCATACTGAGTCTCAACTTTATTTTCATGTTGGAAAAACAAACTAATTAAGTCCATTAATATTAGCAACAGAAGCTCACAAAGGGTCTCTAAATAGAAGAGAAGCACAAGAACCTTGTAAGACGATGGAAAAGACGTATGACCTGTATTATTTGAAAAGGTCCATGAAAGGGTTTTGATGTGGCCCTTTGGGAGTTCCAGCCTTAGCACTGACAGTCCCATCTCAGCACTGTGGAAAAGCGAAGATGCATAAATGGTCATCTGCTCAAAACTTACATTAACTAAAGAAAATGGGGGAAACTCTAAAGATTATATCTTATTAAATTTTATTCATCTTTTAAAAGATGCCTTTTACTTATTATTTAGCATTTTTCTTGAAAGTTGCAGCTTTTTAATAAAACTTTGGAATTAAGTGTTTTATAAGCAAATTTTATTTTCCAGTAAAGCATTCACAAAAAGCACATTTGAAGCTGCTAATTGTATCACAAATATTTTATTGTAGAGTATTATGATAGAGACATAGATAATCAAATTCAAGGAAAATGGCCTTATGTACAAGAGAGGTCATGTCCATTTGCCTCCTGAAGATTAAGTGCATAGAGAGGGTTGAGCTGGATAATGTTTCTGAGTCAATCTCTTATTTTAATAACAGTGATAATATAGAACTCTATCATCACTTCATACTTGAGCCATTGTTGCTCATTCGGTTTCTGTATGTGATTCCTCAATATTCCACAAAGTTGGGGGTTCACTTTGAAGATTTGAATATGGACTCGGCCAGTTTATCTTGATGCATCCATGGAGTGAGTTGCAGCCCAGGACGGAGTGCCCGGCTGGAAACAGAAAGAGTGCTCCATCTTCGTGCACTTAGCAGTTTCTGGATTAGGCCCTTCATTCACTTTTATCTTCTCTCTTTTTACCTTTTTTCTTGTCTAACTTAGCTTATTTTTTATTTAAATTTGGGCTTAAATCTATGAAGTCCTTGGAAGAGAAGAAGGGGAGGGAAACATTGCAAAGGAAGGTAATAAAATGAATGGATATGATCAAAATGTGTCATAGGCTTGTATGAATATTTTTAAAAAATAACTATTGACAAAATAAATCCTTAATCAGATAATATTTAAAAAATTCTTACACCTTACTTCTGCCTTCTATTAACTGTGCATTTTGGGGGATGATCGTCTAATAATTACATAATATTAGCACTGTTTAATGAATGTCTGTTTCGTGAAATAGGAATTCTATTTGTTAACACGGTACCGTAAAAAGTTACACAATACAAATACCTTTTATGCTTGTCAGTTTACAGATGAAAATGGGCATAAAGAAGTGAAGTACTTTTTAAAATGAGAAGACTTTTTCTTCTGACCTCAGTGCCTAACCATAACCTTTCTTGTATCTTAACTGCCCTTTTGGCCTAACTCCTCCGTAGGAATTTCTTATTCTGCTGTTCACAAACAACTTCCCAAAATAGCAGTAGACAAATATGACTAGGCCATGTGCATGTTAC